GGAGGGGAGGCACAGTGACTGGCCCATCGAAGAAGCTCGGTCCTGATGCTACCGCCTGACCCCTGGCCGGTATCGCCCACCTGCTGTAGCAGGTATCGCACCTGCTGGTGGGTGCAGCTCCCGCATGTTCCCTCGTTGGAGGCTTGAGCACGGATGTGGCTGCTACGGGGTTCCCCGTAATACTATAATGACAATAAAAAAGGCCTGAAAGGCCGTCCTGTCCAGATTTGACAGGTAATTGAATTGGTTGGGCTTAAAGAATTAGCCTTTTAAATAAATTAAAAAAAAAAAAAGGGGCACCTGTAGCATGGCCCCTCCGCAAGGATGACACGCATAGATCGAGAAATGGTCCAAAATTTCTCCAAATTATTAAAAAAAAGAAAAGGACAAAAATAAAAATGAAAAAGGAAGAAAAGAGCACTCATGGAACCTGGCAAGTGGCGGGCAGAGTGAAACTCGGGACAGTCGTCCTGATATCTGAAAACGGCATATTAATTTCTTGTTTGTCTTTGGCTCAAATGCACGAAGCGTCCAGTCCTAGGGCCTCGCCGCACGGTGCAAGAAACGAAAAAAAAAACGACTTCGTTTCGTGAAGTCGTCGCCGCATAGCACCCACACGAACTGTGTCAGAAAAAACTCGTGAATGCTGTCAGCCTCCGAGTTCGCCAGGCCTCACGAGTGTGCCGACTCCTCCCTGCCTGCAGCCCTCGCGAACTCGTAGGTCCTCCGCTGGTAGGCTGGAGGAGCTGCGAAATTTCACGAGTGTGCTGCATCGCTCCAAACGAAGTCCATCCAAGAACTTGGACCGTAGCGTCCACAAATTTGGACTGTAGCGAAACGAATCCCCCACTACTGCCGCCAGGGCGTTGTCGCTAGAGTTTTCGTGTGTGCTGTGGGGCGGTGAGGCAAAAAACGAAGCGAAACGGTGGATCAGGGCTTCGTGAGGCCTCACAACTCTGGTGATCGTTTCGTTTCATTAGTTGTGCCGTGCGGCGAGGCCCCTAGAAAGGTACATGCACATTCAAAGGACACAGTCAAGCCCATCCCAAAAACAAGACAAACAAAAATTAAAAAACTTCGGTTTTCCTTGGAGGGTGGGCATACTCACCACATGCAAAGGACGAAAGATATGGTGGTGTATCTTTCCATGTTCTAGCGGAAGATTCATTCTCACTTTGCATATTTGGTGAGTAGTGGAGCGAGGCCCAAAGCCCCTCCTTCCAGGCGCACGTTCTGACGGGTGCAGTTTTTCTTTTTTTGGGGGGATCTTCTTTTTTCGTTTATTTACAAAAGAAGTCCTTTGTTTTGGAGGGGAATGTACTAGGCGCCCTATCCTGGGAAGATACGGCCGCGCCTGATACTCCACTGTAACAGCCTTATGCCAATGGCAAGCTTTATGCAAATGACAAAATACAGAGAAGATACAGGCCTTATCCCAACGGCAACATACCAAAAAAGATACGGCCAGGAAAAGAAAACTTAGGGCCTCTGTTGGGCCCTGTCTGGATGCCAAGCATGACACTTAAACCACCAGACCTACCCGTTGTTAAGGCCCGACCCTGAACTGAACAACCCCGAACCTGCAGCGACGGGTACTCTGAGGAGTGCCGAGCCTCAAGAGACCGGTCTGCAGTACAGGCCTCGCCCCACTACAAATCAAAAAAAAAACTGAAGAAAAAAGAGAAGGAGAAAAAAAAGTGATTCTTCTTTGAAAAACAAAAATAAAAGCAAAACTCACCGAGAAAACAGAAAAGGAAAAACAAGAAATAGAACGCGGATCGAGAGAGATAGATAGATAGAGATAGAGAGAGAGAGAGAGAGAGAGAGAGAGAGAGAGAGAGAGAGAGAGAGAGAGAGAGAGAGAGAGTCATAGAACGAATGAATCTTCCCGCGTTATCATGGGAGATTCATTCTCATTTTCCACATCTGGAGCCCAGTCCTTGCATGCGCCTCTCTTGGGATGTGCAAAACGGGAACAGATCTTCCGGCGATCTCGGGGACAACATTCTCGTTTTGCACATGAGACACTACCGCATCACAGAGAGAGAGAGAGAGAGAGAGAGAGAGAGAGAGAGAGAG